CGTGGCTGGCGCCTTAGCCGGTTGAGCTATAGGCGCCGAGCCTCAAGCATCATTCTTGTTAGAAAGGTGAAACAAATGGAAGAGAGTAGGAATTAGTTGAAGAGTAACACTTTATATTGAAAGTATACTTCATATATGGTATCTTTTCCCACTGATATAGGCCAAGCTTCCCAGAGGGATGAGAATGAGGAATATTGATAGCCTCAAGGAACTTGTTTAGAAATGTATTCAGGGTATATGATGTGATATAACATTCTATATACTCTCGAGGAAAACAGTCATTCTGGGTACAGGATAGCTACTTCTCTGAACGTAGCAAGAATGATGCCTTCCTAAAGCAGCAAATTAGAGATAAAATGGGGATGGTAATCTATTAGGAGCAAGGGAAGAATTGCAGTTACTATCATCTTGATAGTGAAACCAAAATGTGAGGCTTCTACTCTTAAAACCCACATGAGTACAGTTGCCTGGCTTTGTTTTGCAGAATAATGCAGATTATCCTTATTTGGGCACATTTTCGGATACCTATGAGGAACTAATTCAGAAAATACCTGATTTGAACAAAATGGCACGAGTAGCAGCAGAAGTGGCTGGTCATTTCATAATTAAACTTACCTATGAAGTTGAATTGAACCTGGACTATGAGAGGTATAATAGCAAAATGCTATCATTTGTGAAGGACGTGAGCCAATTCAGAGCAGACGTAAAGGTAAGCACCAGGTAAAATGTTCTTGCTGAAGTATGAAGCATTTTGAAGTGTGATGTTTAGCTGTTCCTGAGCCAAAGTACATATTAAAGTGAACTGAGCCATAATGTTACTTATAAAATATAACTCATTTGAAAGAGAAGTTGTCATTCTTTTATTTCAGGCAGCCTATAAATAGGTCACAAAGATGTCAACTGTGAGTTTGGACTTGTGTGCCTGTTTGACATGACATGGAAGAGAGAACATAGGCAGTAGTTAAAATGGTACTCAGTATTAATCTTGTATGTTCAGTAATCAAGCATTAAGTTAAAGTGGTGTGAATTAGTAAATGGTATCTAGTAGTTTTATGATACTAGGAGTCGGCTCGGTGCCTGTGGCTCAGGTGGCTAGGGCGCCAGCCACGTACACCTGAGGTGGTGGGTTTGGATCCAGCCCAGGTCTGCCAAACAACAGTAATGGCTGCAACCAAAAAAAATAGCCGGGCGTTGTGGCGGGCGCCTGTGGTCCCAGCTACTTGGGAGGCTGAGGCAGGAGACTCACTTGAGCCCAGGAGTTGGAGGGTGCTATGAGCTGTGATGCCATGGCACTGTACCCAGGGGACAGCTTGAGGCTCTGTCTCAAAAAAAAAGAAAAATGATACTAGGAGTCATTTAACAGATCTTTTAATTGAGGTAATTTGCTAAAAACTAAACATCTTTCCTTGAAAATAGTAGTTAATTGTTTAGAAGATAGTCTAGTTATTACCACATGGAAATAACTAGAGTGTGAAGTACACTGAATCAAAATTGAACTGGAAACAATATATAGTGGGACCTCCGTGAGTTGGCCACTGAAGGGACTATTACAAACTGACCCATGGAGGTGGTCAACATAAGGAACTAGTAGGCTTGCTGTAGTGGTAACGTGCCTGGGGTGCATGTCTGAGGTAGGAAAATTAGGCTAACTTAAGGGGAGTAGTTACTGTAAGGTGTCAAATATGGAGCTTCTATTGTAGTTACATAGAATTATGTACTTTTACTAATTATGTTAAATTTCTTTTTTTTTTTTTTTGAGACGGAGCCTCAAGCTATCCCCCAGGCAGAGTGCCATGGCATCACGCTCACAGCAACCTCCAACTCCTGGGCTCAAGC